CTACATTAACATTCTATTTCATCTACTAAGAGGATTCTCATCTACATTAACATTCTATTTTATCTACTTGGAGGATTCTCATCTACATTAACATTCTCATCTATATCAACATTCTCATCTATATCAACATTCTCATCTATATCAACATTCTCGTCTACAGTAACATTCTCATCTATATCAACATTCTCGTTCACATTAAGCATTCTCATCTTAATCAGATGATCAAAAGGGTCAATCAATCTCGTCTGTACAATCTCATCTGCATTAACAACTCATCTACTCTCGTCTACATCAATTATTTCATCTACACCCAAATCCCCTTCTACACCAAACATTCTTCGCCCGCATATTCTTATCTTGCCTGCTATCTATGTACACGCTATCCCAGGCTTACCGGGCCCCATATCTGGAGACAAACCAGTTCAACGCTTCCTGCTCAATGAAAATCCGCTTGGCCTTCAACAAGTCCCGCACCTCCACGGACTCCTTGACCAAAACATCGCACTTTTTGCCCATGTTGGCCGACGCCTCCAAGAGATTGCTTCTCTGCTCGTTGGTGATGAACAACAAGTGCAAGCCATCCAAGTCATGGTGCTCCACAAACTGGCGCATCTGGTCCACGTGGCTGAACTGGAAGTCGGCGGTCTCGTTTTCGCCGCCAATGACGAAAAGACGCCCGTTTCGGTACTGGTCGCTCAACGCGGTCTGGAACCCGCGGCTGTATACTTTCAAGGGCAAAGAGGTGGACCAGTCGTGCGGCGCCTTGATTCCGTGGGCCTTGATGCCGTTGTCCCGGATCGGCGAATTGGCATCACCCACTCTGGCACGGCCCGTGCCTTTCTGAGGGTGCAACTTTCTGTTGGAAAACCACTTGTCCTGGGTTTAAATATTGGCTTGTATGTTAAGACGTCTTAAGTCTGTTTGTATGTATAAGATCTTGTATGCGTATAGATGTCTGGTGCATGCGGTTTCTATTGCGGTCGCACAGGGCAAGCTGTCTTCCTTTGCGCTTGGAGCTGATGCAATGTGCTCCCCGCCAAGACTGAGGCTCCGCCAGATGCCTTGGGCCCAAGTTTCAATAAGAACGGTCAAGCGGTTGGTACCTGGGGTGTCAGATCTAGGGACTTGTTCGGCCCTGGCATTCTGCAAGACGCTGCGAGCCCGCGAGCCACACCTCCAGGCTCATCCACAGGTGTTGTGGAGCCGAGAATCCGCAGCACTCACACTGCCCATACGCCTCCGTGGACGCGAAGAGGACGGAGGCGCAAAGGCGGGAAAGCTTGGACCGTTGCCAAGCCCGTGCACTGTTGGTGCTTGAATTCGGTGGTTGTAGCGCCCAAAAGACGATACGGCCATGTCTCCGTTCACACGAGCCGTCCGCTTCGTCCCAATTCCGGAGAGCAGCGACAAAAAAACATCTCTCCCCGAGAAAAAAATACACTAACTCTCTGGCTCCTTGGAGCTTGCAGGCACATCGTTGCCCTCTGGGACAGCGTCGTCCGCGACATTTCTCAGGGTGTCATCTACGCTGACATCGCCATCCGCGGCATCCTTGCCGACGCCCTCGGCCATCTCAATGTCGTTGGAGTCCACACGCAGGTACGACCCCTGGGGCTCCAGCAGCTTGAACTTGCCTAGGGCCTTGGCTAGGAGAGACGGGCTGGGCTGCCTGGCGCCCAGCTCGAGCTGGTCCGCCCACATCACATTCTTCTTGCGGCCCGCGGGCTTGGTCTTGATTATCGACGTGGGCCGCGCGCGGTAGGTGGTGTAGAGAGCGCAGACGCCCCAGATCAACACGACAATGACCGCAAGCTGGATCACGCGCACGGCGGGGCCCGAGGCCAGCGCCGCGGCCGTGCCGCTGGCGCCCAGCAGGGTCAGAGTCGACGAGCCGTTGGCGGCCTCCCGGCCGACCGGGTAGGTCAAGAGCTGGGGGGCCTTGCCCTCCTCGGCCCTGACGTCGAAGTGGCGGTACAAGAGATCTACCATGGCGCGCGAGACCTCGGGCTTGTCGTAGGGCACCATGTGCGAGGCGTTGAAGACGTTGACGTAGGTGAGGTTGCCCTCGGAGCGCAAGTAGCCCGCGGCGGCGCCGTCGTGGCGCCAGTCGTACGTGGGCACATGCTCGGAGAAGCCGCGGTGGCCGTCCCACTCGAGGTTCTGGAGCATCAGCTCCGCGCCCATGTAGTTGCAGATGACGTCGCGGTTGCCGTGGAACAAGACGATGCGCACCTGGTCCAAGAGCGCGGACAAGAGGGTGACGGCCGGCTGCAGCCGCTTGGCCTTCAAGTGCGCGCCCACGGGCGCCAGGCACTCGGTCCAGGGCGTGTGCAAGCGCAAGTTCAAGCCCTCCATGACGGCGTCCTGGGCCAAGAACGGCGTCACGTGGGCAAGGTCCGGCGGCCAGTTCATGCCGCACGCCGGGTACAGGTCCTTGAGCGTGTGGTCGTACATGTTGAAGCACTGCTGGTCCGCGCGCGCGCGGCGATCGGCGGTGATCTGCAAGAGAACGTTCAACACGCGGTCGCAGGTGCGGGCCACGACGGAATAGGCGCTGGCGGCGGCGGCCACGTGGGTCCTGTCGACGGCGCTCTGGCACTCCTGGTGCGCGGCCAAGAGCTCGCGCCAGCGCGGGTGGTCCGTGGAGACCATGCCGGCCTTGACGGCGAACGGCACGAACGAGAGGCCCTGCTCGTTGGGCGAGATGTAGCCGTTGCCGATCAAGAGGCCGGCCAAACGGTAGGGCGCGGCGGCCACGCGCGCGTTGCGGTCGAGCACCGCGCGCGCGATGTACGGGATGTACTGCCCCGCGTAGCTCTCGCCCGCAAGCACGATGTCGTTGCCGAGGTCCTCGGGGAAGAGCGCGAAGTAGCGGTCCAAGAAGGTCAAGAAGTGCCACAGCACGTCCGCGAGCTCGGCGTCGTACTCCGTGCCGTAGCTGAAGCCGGTGCCCGCCGGCTGGTCCACAAACACCACGTCGCCCTGGCGGTGCCACAGCCCGCTGTTGGGCGTGACCTCGTTGCGCTCGTTGACGCGGAACGGGCCGGCCTCCATCAACGCGCCGTCCATCAGCAGGCACCCGGGCCCGCCGTTGAGCCAGAAGATCGTGCGGTTCTGCACACACGCGCTTTTGTGGCGGTCCACAAACTTCCAGAAGAAGTAGTGTGTGTTGTTGTTCTCGTAGAGCGGCAACTGGCCGGCATACATAAGCGGCATGTCGGCGGCAGGGATGTTTTTGGCCATTCCGGGGAGCCCGGTCACGAGGTAGTCTTTTTGGGAGGAGCCCCGGTTTCCGGAAAGCGCCTCGCGGGCGTGTTTGAGGGGGTTGGCCGCGGCCACAAGGACGTACACAAACAAGAGCAAAAGGCTGGCCATAAAGGGTGCTGGGGCTCGGCGGCTAAGGGGATTGGGGCGGCGGCAAATGCCTGTTTCTGGCCCGTTTTCCGTGCTTTTTTCGCGGCCACGGAGCTCGGCGGTCGGGGGACAGCGGGGGGTCGGCCAGGGGGCGTCGGCGGGCGCCGGAGGGGCGGGTATGGGGCGGCGCTGGATGCTTGTTCTCGCTTCTAAACGAGTATGGAGAGTGAGAAAAGGCGTGCGCGGGAGGGGGCACGCTAAGTATGGGGGCGGAGTGCATACGGGTGGTGCACGGGTGTGCGGCCGGCTGCGCCTGGCGCGCCGTTCACTAGGGACCCCAATTTCACTGTTCATTTAATAGAGCACCAGACTAGAGGTTCCAGGCGCCTCTAAAAGACTTCCAGGCCTCTCTATGTAGACTTCCAGGCGCCGTAACAAAAGAGAGCAGTACTCCTTCTTAGGTTTGGAAAAATGTTCCGCCCTGGCACTGGACGACTCGCTGGTCCTGCATCCAGGCACTCACGTGTCAGCTCGGGTCGTCTTTTGGTGGTAGGTTCGTTGTTGTGGAGAGGCGGCGGTGGGTTGTTTCTTTTGGTCTGGGCTGCTTTCTGAAATGCTGTGGTCAGTTTGGCCGCTGCTTGTTTGGCCCGCTGTTTGTAGTCATGTTGGTCGGTCGTTTGCAGTCATATGGCACCGGGCGCGGGTCGTTTGATTAGTTTCAGACCCGACTTTTATTAGTTTCAACTCATTTTGGCCTTGGCTGCCTCGGTCCAGCTCCATGTGTTTTGTGTTGGCTCGCTCTACTTTGTGTTCGTTGTGCCAGTGGGCCCTTTATGGACAATTGGCTTTAGTCTGCTCTCCTGGTTTAAAGGCCTCGGCATGCGAGCATCTGCTAGACCCAGACACGGCTTCCCGAATGTGGATGGATTCTGAAGAATCCGGCTTTTTGCGCTCCGGGAATGGTGTGGTGGTTTTTGAACAGGGCTTGAGGGGACTTTGGCACTTTTGGGTGCTTTGGGCACACTGCTGATGTCCCATTGAATGAGGCGCAATGACTATGGTAGTTTCTTCAGAACTCGTCGAGTTTTCCTAAATGCCGACACCGGCTGTTTTCTCGGATTTCATCTAGTGGCTTTTTCGCTCTGCTTTGTATGGCCACTTCTTGGTGGTGCTGCGGCTGCGAATGCCTTGATAAGCTCGAAAAGGCCGGTGCACGATCTTCCATCTCTAAACTCACGTACCTGCGATTAAGCAGGAAGGTTTTGTTCGAGTTTTAGTGATATCGACGAAAACAGGGGACACATGGTGCTGCATTAGCACCTTGACCCGATCCGCCCGCTTCTGGAAAGCTCGAAAGGATGAACAGGCAGTTTTTCCTTTAATTGCCTTTTTTCAATCTCACCTTTTCAAGCTCTTTATCTCCTCTTGCTTTTGACCTCCACTTTTTGCAGAAGCCCCAGCGAGCCTCTTTGGCATCAATCCGAACGAATCTCGTTCAACTCATACTCCCTCGTACCACCAGTCATGATGAAGATTATCATCGCTTCGTTCGACCCCAAGTGCTTCTATCTCGGCCACTACATCATATCACTCACTTAAAGTATGGAATTCAAACTTACTGCCGTACTAGCACTATGATAAATCCAGACTCCCATACTCAGAATTCATGCGGGGTTCCCACTCACCCGGCTTTCCCTTGATGTGCAACCTGAAGTCAGGCTCGGGCGCCCTTACTGGCTCAATGGCTCAACATTCCAAATATTCTCTGCATACTCGTCAATGCACCGGTCAGAACTGAAGAATCCCATGTTGGCAACAGACAACAACGACTTCTTCACCCATCTGTGCAAGTGGTCAGGGTCAGAGGAGTCACCTCCATGGTGGCCATACACTTTCTCCAACTTCTCCTGGCATTCCAACATCAAGTCAAAGTCGTCCGTAACGAGGTAGTAATCGCCATGGTTGGTGATCGACTCAATCAATGGCTTGTACTCGCCTGGGTCACCAAACATTCCTGACTCAATGGCATCAAAGACTTTCTGCAACGTCTTTGGAACGGTAACTCCGTGGTAGAGGTGCTTGTGTCTGATCTCTTCCACCGACTCTGCCAAGTTTCCGAACAAAAAGATGTTGTCTTCACTGATTTCGCGCGTGATCTCGACATTGGCGCCATCGACTGTTCCGATAATCAATCCACCATTCAATGCGAACTTCATGTTGGATGTTCCCGACGCCTCAGTGCCCGCAGTAGAAATGTGGTTGGACAAATCTGATCCGGGGCAAATGATTTCTGCCTTGGACACGTTGTAGTCTGGAATGAATACAACCTTCAACAAATTGTCGATCTCTGTATCTTTGTTGATCACCTCTGCGGCCATGTTAATCAAATGGATAATGGTCTTTGCCATGTAATAGCCCGGGGCAGCCTTACCACCAAAGATACTTGCCTTCGAAATGTAGTGCTTCAACTTGATGTCGTCAACAGAAACGCCTTCTGCGAGAAGCTCGCGGATCCTCAAGTATCTGTAGATTGTTGCAAAGATGTTGAGTTGTTGTCTCTTGTATTCATGAATTCTCTTCACCTGAATATCAAACATAACCGTGGGGTCAACATCAATTCCAGTCTCGGACTTGATAAGCTCAGCCAACCTTCTCTTGTTGTTGAACTTTATTCTGTCCCACCTTGTCAAGAACTTGTCGTCATCCACAAACTTCTCCAACTGCTTCAACTTGCCCAAGTTGGTCAAATATTCATAGTCAGGGTCATTGAGTGCCTCCGCAATCAAAGAGGCCAATTCAGGGTTAGCCTGCTTGAGCCATCTTCTAGGCGTGATACCGTTTGTCACGTTCGTGAATTTTTCATCGCCGAAAATCTTCACAAAGTCTTTGAAGATGGTTGTCCTAATCAACTCAGAGTGCAACTCAGCCACTCCGTTCACCTTGTGCGAGCCAATGATAGCCAAGTATGCCATGCGAACAGATTTGCAGTCATTCTCTTCAATCACAGAGACCCTTCTCAATAACTCCATGTCGTTGGGGAACTTGGCTTCCACCAGCTTCAAGAAGTAGTAGTTGATGTCGTAGATGATTTGCAAGTGTCTGGGAAGGAGATTTCCAAGCAACTCAACAGGCCATTTCTCCAACGCCTCGGTCATCACAGTGTGATTGGTGTACGCAAAAGTGTTGGTGACAATGTTCCAGGCGTCGCTCCACGACAAGCCCTCCAAGTCCACCAATACTCTCTGAAGCTCGACAATGGCCAATGTGGGATGGGTGTCATTCAACTGGATGGCGATCTTGTCGGTGAACTTGGACCAGTCATCCTTGTGCTGCTTCTTGAAGCGGCGCACAATGTCGTGCAATGACGCGGCCACCCAGAAGTATTGCTGCTTCAATCTCAACTCCTTTCCGTGGAAGAAGTTATCGTTGGGATACAAGACCGCGGTGATGGACTCAGCACGTTGTTGAGCAGCCACAGAAGATTGGTAGTCGCCAGCATTGAATTTGTTGAAGTCGAACTCGTTCGTTGGGCGGGCGTTCCACAAACGCAAGTTGTTTGTGTTCGAGGTGTTGAAGCCCGGGATGGGGAAGTCCGCGGCCACGGCCAAAACACGCTCTCCGCCCTTCCAGACCTTCTTCATTTTGTCGGCTTTCTCGTCGTATACCTCCTCCACGGCGCCGTAGAAGTCTACAGGGATCTGGATCTCCGTGCGGTCGATTTCCCAGGGGTTCGAGTACTTCAACCAGTAGTCGGGGGTCTCGACCTGGTACCCATCGATGATTTTCTGCTTGAAGATTCCGTACTGGTAGTTCAAGCCGTAGCCCCAGCCGCTGTAGTTTTTTGAGGACAACGAGTCCACGAAACACGCGGCCAAGCGGCCCAAGCCTCCGTTGCCCAAGCCTGCATCGGGCTCCTGCTCCAAGATGTCCTCGAGGCAGAACCCCAAGTTGTCCAAGGTCTTTTCGACAACAGCGCGCGAGTTCGTGTTGATCAACGCGTTGTCCATGGCACGGCCCATCAAGAACTCGAGCGAAAGGTAGTACACCCTTTTCCCGTCATGGACCGTCTGGTTCTGCTGGGTGTCGGCCCAGTCAAGGAGCACCGAGTCTCGGATCGACTGCGACGCGGCCTGGTACGCGCCCAAATCGTTGCAGTTGTACATGTTGCGTGCCAAGGTGAACTCGACGTGCTTGATGAACCTATTTTCAAACTCCTCGGCGGTGATTTCCGCCTTTTTTCTCTCCTTGGTGCTGCCCATGGGCCTCAAGCTGGAGTACTTGCGCCAGATGATCTTGGCGGCCTCTGAAATCTGAGCATCGTAGGCGACAATCTGGTTAGGTGTGAAGCCGGTGTTGGTCCGTCTCAACCGTGGCTGCGGCAACTCGGACGGGGTCAAGTAGTCTCCCATTTTTTGTTTTTTTTTGTTTTGTTTTGTTTTGTTTTTGCTTCTGCTTTTGCTTTTGTGCTTTGTTTTGTTCTGTTTTTGTTTTTGTGTTTTTTCTTCTGTCAGAGTAACAACAGTGGCGGCACTTGAGTGTCGGGATGTCAATTGATGAAATGTGTGGTTGTCAATTGGCGTTTGTGTTCAGAGCCAAAGCGTGTTTATCCCTGGGGTTAAGCGCTGTGGTTCCCCGCTTTCTTGTCTGGTCAAAGAGTATTTCTGGCAATCAGGAATACAAAGCTTGAGGACGAAAAAGAAAGATGGTGCAAGCTTGGTGGAAGAAAAGAGGGGTGGGAAGAAAAGCAAAAGAGCACGTTGCCGCTAAATAGGCCAGCCACGTAAATAAGCTTCAGCTTTATTAATCGGTCCTGTGCGAGGGTGAGGGGGTGCTCGAAAAGAAGGGAATACGAGCCGGGCGCCAAACCCTTGGCCGTCAAGAGTGGGGCGCCGCTTCCGGCCTCCCGCCGGATAGGGGCCCAGGCACGTGACTCGCCTGCTGGCCTCTGCTGATTTTCTGGCAACGGCTATAAAAAGTGGCGCGATTATGGGAAACTGGCGTGTACTATCTTATCGGCTCGCGCCGGGTCCCTGACATTGGAGCGCCCGTTGCGCGGTTCCATCTCACCCCATTTTCTCGAAATTGCCCCTAAACCCATGCACAGCGCCAAAAAAGATGCTAGAAAAGCGGTGTTTTTGCTTACATACCGGAAGAGGACTGATTTCGAAACGAACACTGGCCGTTCGGGATGCAAACGAGGACTGATTTCGAAACGAACACTGGCCGTTCGGGATGCAAACGGCCCTATCACCAGCCCGGCTGTCCAGTGCCTGTATACACGCAGTCACGTGAGCCGTGGCCCCTGCATATTGCTGAACTTTAATTACTGGAACATGGAAGCTTGCTGTTCGTCGCCTCGTTTCTTCAACTTGCTGTCTCTCTATAATGCGCTCGAGACATGAAGGCACTAAAGATTTTCCAAGATTGTGTGGCTGCAAAAATTCCCATGGAAAGCCTTTCTTGCCAACCTCTGCGGGCCTTTTTCTCGGTTCACCAAATTGTACTCTGTAGGTCAGTAGTGCCACTTGCTAAAAAGGTTACAGAAATGCCAAGGCGATTCCGGTTTGTAATGAGTTTTGTGTTTTGTTTCCATATCGGTGGTCATTGAACCTGCACTTCGTCTCGCGGGAGTTATCAGCTTGCTCGCGAAATACTCGTGGCTTTTCCTGGAATAGCATTCGTCTATGCAAGGTGATGATTCAAATCTCGAGATCTGAAATTCCACATTTGACAAAGATCTAAAATCCCCGGTATGGTGGGGAGGCACGCTTGAAGCACCCGCGGGTCTGGAGAATGTACTTTATGTACTCTTGTCTCACAGCTCGTTTGGGATACGTGGCATGTATGCCAAGCTGGGGAGAATGAATCCTATTTTGCGACAAATTGAATTCCAAGTCCAAATATTATGTTCTGACGTTCTTCAAAGATTTGAGTGAATTTTGCTGAACTAACCTTTGGGAAACACAAGCGATTCATAGGTATTGGATGTTGTGTTCCTGTCGAGTCAATCCACGTGAGGACCTTATTCGCAACATGAGCTGTCTTTCCCAAATCTATTCTTCAACTTTTTATCTCCCAATTTCTTCTCATAAGTGTTAAAAACTTCGGTCCATACTTGCTTGCAATAATTCAAGTATCTTCGAGCAAATCTGGAATCGATCATGAGATTGTTTGCTGACTTTTGTGGCTGAATTGATTGAGAACCTGTAAAGTTATATCTCATTCACGATACTATAATTGAGGAGGTCTTCTGTCCAACATTCCATATGGCCCGCAACGCTGTTGTAAGAATTTCAGTATTTTCGAATTTTATGAAAGAACTGCTCCTACTGGAAATACTTGTCAAGTCTTCCCTTTGAAACAGAGTCGCTTTCATCATTTAGTTTACCTATATCTATCCAAAGGCTTATCCGCATTTATTTCGAGAGCTTTTTTCCATCCAAGCATCAGATGAGGTGTCATTCATGATCACCAAGTGTTAGCTGAATAACAGAAGAGAGCGACGCCCCTTTTATTCCGATATTCCAAAGATCCCTCTTTCATCAGCTTACAAACAAAACCAATTTTCGAAAGTGATTTGGAAATACACCAGGGCAGATTTTAATACTAAAATCAGCTAAGCCGAGCCTGCTCCACAATCTAACAGCTCACTCATTCAGCTGTGAAGAATATACAGATGGTTTTTGAACATTTCAAGATTGTGGTGTGTTTTAGCCCTTATATATTATGGGTACAGAAACTGGTATTCTCGTGTTCTTGTGACCCAGGTAAAGGAGTGCAAAATCTGCCATGAAATTTTAGCTCTTTTAAAGATGAACTGAGCCTATTCATTCCTTTTTAGTAGCAGCAACTTTGCAAGCCGTTAGCTAATTATACTACAAAAACTTTTTCATATTTAAGACGGCATAACTTATCTCTCCATTCAAATTCAACTTTAAACACCATAAAGGAATAAGGAGATCTGATATTAGAAATGAATCTGGATTGAATCTTAACTGCTTTTTATAACTAAAAGCCCAGATTAGAATTTATTAGATCCAGGTCTCGAAATGACCGGCCCCGGTCATTTCCCACGACTATGCATTTGGGTAATGTCATCTTGGTATTGAGAAAAGAAAGTATTTCAGAAAGTATTTTCTGATACACTCCGGTGATTCATTGTTAAAAAACTCAAGTTATTATATCCTTCAACTCACTAGAAGGGCATTCCATGTGTGTCACATCGACGCTAAAATTGAGAATTAACTCAAAATTGACTACGAAAAGCTATGCAAAGTTGATGAATTCAGCTTTTACTTCAGAAAACCTTTCTGGCATAAAATATAGGCGATTTAGACAAAGAATAACTCTCGCTATCCATTGAGAAATCAATTGGCAAGTCACAGAACTGTGATCGGGTCCTTTGCTTTAAAAGACAGTAAACATCATCATCCCGTCTCAAAGATTGAAAATTGCCTCAGGTCCATTCACTTAAATATCTTAAAGCAAATTTTGCTGGTATTAATTCATATTCGTTTTTACCTGAACCAAATATCAAAGAGTATATATTGTAATTCTGAAAACTGAAGTGCTCAGATGTAAAGTTCCACTTAGTTCCTAGAACTTTTTACTAGTACACATACAAAAAACCAAAAGCGGGCTCGGGTTTCAGGTAAACTCGTTGTTAGGTCAAAGTTGGTAATACTTTGTACTGTTTATTTGGCCCAGTCATCCACTTCGACCTTGAAGGTAGCCGCTCTGGTCTATCCGTGCACGTGATTTTTCTTGACAATACTCAACACACGGATTATATTTCAAATCCAGCTAAACCAAAGCAAAATTGAATTTTCTGGGAACTTATAGTACCACCTCAGGTATTGGCTATCGAAATCACTTGACCAAAACAACTATTGGCTTTTTACTCCCCTTATTTCTTCAATCCGTCACCCTCATAGTAGCTTATCCAGTAAGGTAGGCGTTTTCTCTCTGGTGTTGGCTGAGATCGCAAAAGAATTCGAGCTCGAGATTTGAAGGCTTCCTTTCTTGGCAAGTCATATATTTCCCTGATTTTTTTCAGTCAGGGCCGAGCTATGTAGTGCAATGTTAGGAGTAAATGTTTTCAAAGCACTCACAATTGTTGTTTGCTTCCTTCAAACATGAGAAGCTAAGAATAAGGATGATTCATTAACAAAACAATGGAATTTTATGTAAGCATTTACCGAAATCTCCTCTTTATATAGCTACATCCACCAGTGTCTATCAAAAGACACAGTACAACAATTTTTTCTCTGAGTGCGCAAATTTATTTCAATTAAAATAGTTATAGTGTATCATAAATTTTGCTTGGGATTTTAGGTACCAAATCAACAAAGGGATAAAACATGAAGGAAATGAGAAAATAATTCAGATGCGCGATCAAATTTACCCTTTTTAAACTGTAAACAATAAGAACCTGATTGTTTTGAGGTCGAAAGTGTATAAAGTATTTTGTGGGCATATTTTGTAGTATAATGGATCTGCCTTATCCACAACATTTGATAATTTTTAGCACAAGAAGCACTTTTGGCACAGTATTTTCTGGTCAATTTCTACCTCTTGAGATTATGAAGACTTTCTTGACTGCTCAGGCTTATATAATGTTCTTGTTGGGAGCTAATACTGTTATTTTTCTTTTCAAAACAAAAAATAATACCACGTGTTGCCTCGTGATTTCCACTCAAATTCCTGTTTTTATTCGTGTAGTAGTGTTGGAGCGTATTCTATTGTTCGGAGTCTTCTTACGCACTTCTGTATAAAGGGTCAAGGCGCAGCTATATAATCAAATTCATAATTCAGGAATGAACTTAGGGCTTCGCTTTTACATTTCTACTGCAAGATATATGTGATATGTGTGGACGCTTATAATATGACATTTTGGTCATTAACCTTAATTCAAGTGAATTTATCAAGATCAATCGCATTAGTTTGACGTCACCTTAGTCCGCTTCTACTTGTCTCTTTTCAAAACCTCATAATCTTAGCAACAATGGGATGTGGTGCTGATTTCATCTTGCTTTCAAAAAAGCTATTAATGCTCCTCAGAAGAAGAAAAAAAACATACCTTTTATTGTCACATGCGCGTCAATGCAGGTTTCTAATTTGGTGTTGGATAATATTCTTGATCGAGACTTCTTACTAGGCTGGATACAGAAATTGGGTCCAGACTCCAAGATGGCCCGTCTAAATACTCCAAAGATGCACTTGACGAAAATTGCGTCATATATTCATTTTGAGACGAACAATTCAATTATTTTAGCAGAGGTAATATCTATAGAATGCCAAGAATGGAAAGCGTCCTTTTGTGACATACTTTAAGGCTTCCGCAACTGTTATCTTCATCAATTCGTGTCCCTCTTTTACAAGACGCTTCTTCCGCCAAATTGTGCTGCTGAATAAATGAATAATAAATGAATATTTTTCACTTCAAACGAACAAGTGATTATTTCTTCGCTCATCCAGACCAAAAATAAGAAGTGCGCACGAGGTGATCTCTTTTGTATCACTTTTGAAAACTAGCAACCCTGTTCACATTATCGATGTTAAACCCCATGAACAGCAAAGTCATTAGATTTTGCAGCCGGTTTGAGGCAGCCCTTTGCCTAGTACTTCCATGTTTTGAATGAAAGCCAGAAATACAAAGAAGACCTCAACCTGTATTGCTTCATCTAATTCTTACATCTTCTTAATCACTGCTTTACATCTACAAAATTGGTTTACCTAAATCTGCCCTATGCGCGCGAGTGTTTGATCAATATTTGCCAGTCTTCCTTGGCATATCCAAAAGCTCCCTTATTCTTTGTCAGCAATATAAAGAACTCTTTCAGTGTCGTTTTTTTAAAGTGTTTCCGCCTATGCGTGTAATCTTATAAACTTGAATTCGAAACTCAGGATCCAAGATATTTTACATGGCCTACTTAGGCGCCCATTCTGGTACCCAAGCATTCATAAGAGCATTCAAGATCTTGCCCACTCAAAAATTCAAACACATTATCTCTCTGAACCGCCATAAAACCACAGTCCTCCAAACAAGTTTCATTTCGAACGCACGAAATATCCTATGTAGCGGCCATTCGACACAACCGTGCATCTCGGATGACGCGCACCTCTACATTCGCGTCAGCTAGCATTGTATACTAGCACCATGATCTCAACGTTTCTCCCCGTTTCAGACTCTTTTGTCGTTGCAGGCACGGCAGATTCACACATACAAGTTCTTCTGTTTCCAGACCCAGCATTACCGCTGAGAGTACAAGACAGTCATGTGACACGACGCACGCAAGAGGCTGCAATCTTTTCCCATGCAGTTACACGCCCAACCAGCACCACAGTTTTGGGCAAATGTTCTCATTGGGCGGTCAACGACATTGCACTTCTGGAAGAATACGTAGCTGCGGCTTCTGGGTCTACGATATCTACATGGGATCTCGTCAAGACCTGCCGCGTTCGGCATTTGACCACGCCGGATCTCGCAAACGCATGCAAGTATGTGGGCACCCAACTCTTGGCAGCCGCGGGCCACGGACGCCTGGTGCATTTTTACGACATGCGTATGCTGGTACACTCGCTGTCTCCTGCGTGGACAACGAAACTCGCTACTGATAATTTGTACGCATTGGCGGTAGATGAATGCACCGTGTTTGCCGCTGGCGCAGATGGCTGCGTCTACGGCGTGGACCTCCGCGCGCACCAGCAATACCGGTGGGATTTGCAGCCATGTGCGCAGATACGATGGCCTGCCCAAAGCGGCAATATAAACTCACTGCAGCTGCAGCTCCTAGAAGAGGGCCATACTTCCAATGCTATATTGGACCTCAAAGTTCTGGACGATATTTTGTATGTTACTCTTGAGTCCGGTCAAGTGTGCGGTGTTCCTCGGCAATTCCCAGTCCAGACGGGAGTTTCAGACTCTGATGAAAGCGACAACCGAAGCAAACAGCTTGATGTCTCTGGTGGTGATTTTGTATTTGCAGCAGATTACCTGTCAACGCCGGTGAAGACTAAGATTGGGTGTGATGTTCTAAGTGAGGAAGATGGTGTTCATCTTGCCGTGGGAAGCGAGCTCGGCAAAGTGAACTACTTTAGATACGACCAAAGAAGCGGGGCTTTGTCTGCTAGGAAAATAGTGGATATAAGCGATTATACGGATATGTCGGCGCGTGTGCGGTGGGCACCTAAAGGGCTTTTTGCCAGCGCGGGCAGCACGCTTTGTCTTCTCCCATTTCGGTGACTTATTCACGTGGGCCCAGTCGTTAATAAAGTACCTCCGATACATTGCTACATCCGCCAAAGTGGGGCCCTTTCATGCACCCAAGCACCACTGTTTCTTTTTTCGGTGTGTGACGTGTGTCTTGAGTTTACTACTCAACGCGCGAACTCTCCGAGTATAGCTGACCTAAGTGACTCTGCACACAGGAAACTCTTGTTCAATCTTCAACAGCTCCAATACGCGTCCGCGCCTTGGCTCATGAAAATCCAACCCATCATGGATCTGGAATCGATGTCGCAAGAAAACTCTCTGACTAAACAGGAACCCTCAGAAACAAGTCAGGAAAATGAGAGTCCCATCATCGAGGAAGCCAAGCCCCAGACCACGAGCGTCGACTTGCAAAAGCAGTTGAATCTCGAGCCCACCACCATCGTGCTTGCAAAAGTCAAGGGATACAGAGCATGGCCAGCTATGGTGATGGATGAGGCAATATTGCCAGAAAACATCCGCAAAGTGAAACCGAAATCAATCCGACTTGCGCGTAAGCCTACCAAGCCGGTCATCGTCGTGCCCGTGCGTTTTTTCAGCGACGATACGTACATCTGGATCAAGTCATGTGACCTCAAAGTTCTACCTGCGGCGGACATAGAGGCGTTCTTGGTGAAGCGAGCCAACGCCAAAAAACACGACACACTCATCGATGCCTATAAGCTCGCCCAGGACCCGCCTGATATGCGCGAGTTTAACACCTGGGGCTCACGAGGACCACCGCAGCATTCCGAATCCGCGGAAGAGTCGGACATTGGAGATGACCTGGAGCCCACAGGGCCCGAGCCCAAAAAGCTCAAGTTGACCATCAAGCTCAAGAAACCGTCCTCGTCAGCCTCACGTTCCAAGGCGTCCGGAAAGCTGTCAAGCACAAGCAAGAAAACAGTGGCGAAGCCTGTCCTGAAACCTGCCCGTGGACTGAGCCAAGGCCCGAAAAACGGGGCGAACGGTGCCAAGAAAGAGCCTGTTTCTGAAGAAAGCACTCCGCCTAGCGACGCGCTAGAAGGTTTCGACTCGGACTGGGGCCTAGAAGAAGCAGAATACGACATACAGGGCGGCAACTACATTTTTGACGACGAGCAGCAACAGAAGGAATTCAGCGAGCTGTTCCCACGGGCAGCAGATCTTTATCTTACGCTTGAGCAGTTCGAGGAGATATTCCGTGACTTCCACCAAGCCCTTTCGCCGGGCTTGCTCCTGGGCGAAATTGACAACGAGAAGAAGGTGGTGGGGAAGCTCCGTGAGTTGGAGCGCTTGATAATCAAGTCCGACACGCCGATGATTGCATTTACGAAGTCGCCTCTATTCCGCGTGTTGCTTCTCACGATGCACCGGCCTGCAGATCGCTTCGCCCACCAGGCCGTCAGGGATGCCATCCAGCAAGTGTTGAGCCAGCTTGACTTGCACACGTGCCAAATCTCGGAGGACGATATGGAATTGAAGACCAAGGACAGCACGCCGCACGCCAGCGAGGGCCAAGGCGACGCGGAGGTGGTGGTGGTCGAATAGTGCATATTCGCCCACGCCTTCGCTTAGATTAGGTACATAGAGCCGCGCCGCGGCCGCGGGCCGCAAGACACGCGTCACGTGACACGCCCTTTTCCCTGCCGTCCCTTTTGGGCGGGCGGCCAACAGAGCAAAAGACACGCATTCTGCCGGGCGCGTGTGGGGCCGTCGGAACAGGCAGCCACGCCGGATTCGGCAGCACCTGAGACTCTGGCAGAACGCACGGCACGTTCTCTGTGCAGGCGTGGCACGGGTATACGCGAGCAGGCCGCGGAGCGGGCGTGCGCGCACCGATACCCCAAAAGGGGATTAAAATCTCAAGATCTCCAGTTGTTTTGATTGCAGCTACAGTTTAGACGGCCATTTCAGTGCATCGGAAACCCAAACCAGTATGTTGAAACCCCCTTGTAGAGACCGCCAAGCGGCGTCTTCCCCCACGTGGCCGCAATCGTAATTCGGCGGGCGGCGAGCCCCGGAACCCGCCGCTGTTGACCAATCCGGAAGTCGTGACCCAATCGGGTTCGCCATTTTTCCTAATATGGACGGTGCATCACGTCCATGCCCATCAGGTGGCCGGAGGCCCAGGAAAGAAGCCAGCACGAGAAGAACAACAAAACACACGCCCGAGGAGGGCCGGCGCCCGGCCTGCCGCCGGGTTGTTGTTTTTTTTTTCTAAAAAAAAGACAGCGTCGATGGGCTGGAACTGAGGCATAGAATAACGACACTGCAGAACAAGATCAGCCGGCCCCGGGCCATATGGCCTGCCGCCATGCCCCACCCAGTTTCCCGGGACAATCAAATAGAGGCGATTCCCAAAACGGCCCGCTCCTCGGCACCCCAAAACGAACACCCGCAAAACGAACCGCCCCGACCTGGCACCTCAAACCACGCACCCAATAAAGCAACAATACCATCGACCACCCCACCATTCACCCCACCAGCCAGTCCAGCCAGCCACCATCCACCAGCCGCAGCCCCAGATGTTTACTAACCCTCTAGGCATGTCCGAAATCACCGACCCCAGCAAATTGGAAGGCTCCGACGAAACCCTCGCAGGCGCACCCGGCCCTCAGTTCAACCGAGGCTCCGTCAGCGGGTTGGGCGGCGACGACGACGACGACGACGAGCCCGCGGGCGGCAAGCAGCAGAAGGAAAGACGCAAGATCGAAATCAAGTTCATCCAGGACAAGTCCCGCCGGCACATCACGTTCTCCAAGCGCAAGGCCGGCATCATGAAGAAGGCGTACGAGTTGTCCGTGTTGACCGGCACACAGGTGTTGCTTCTAGTGGTCAGTGAGACCGGGCTCGTGTACACGTTCACCACGCCCAAGTTGCAGCCGCTCGTGACCAAAAGCGAGGGCAAGAACTTGATCCAGGCGTGCTTGAACGCGCCCGAGGAAGGCTTGGGCGACGAGCAGGGCGACCAGAGCGAGGCCAACTCGCCGGAGCTGCCGGAGCAGAGCCCTGCGCCACAGAAGCACCATGCGCCCGTGGCGAACGTGGCGCACCAGGTGCCGCCGCCCGCCGTGCCTCATCCCCAGCAGTTGCCCCCCACGCACTTGCCCCACGGCATGCCGTACCAGGGCCAGGGCCATCCGCAGCAAGGTTTACCCATGCCACAGGCGGGCGGGTACAACGATCCATACCAGTACTTCGGCAACATGGGCAACGGCAACATGCAGAACCAGCAGCAGTACCAGTAGTGGTGCGTGGTTGGGAGGGTGTGCCGGGCGGAGGCCCGCTAGTTGTTTCTGTTTTGGAAAAAGCCGGCCCGCCAGTTGTTTAAGCTTTTGGAAAAAGCCGGCCCGCT